GGACCAAAATTGCAGTGGCCATCTAATACAAAGCACTGCCCTGGTATGTATAGTAGAAAGTTTTGATGAATCAAATTCATATTGATGAATTTTAAGCTGGCTTTGCTGTAGTATAAATTCAGTGGCTCTCTCACAGTTAGCGCCATACCAAGAGTCTGCTCCAATGCTCCCTTACCTCTGCCCTGCTCGTTCTATTCAAAGATAACAATACTTGGATGTCACCTGCAAGCTTGCAATCTTTCATGTGTTGACCTTCTCTAATGGGCATTCACCATCCAGGCTTCTTTGTCATAGAGCTCATCCTAGATTCCTACCTTGCATCAGATCTCTTCACCAGATCTTTTCCTTATCCCTTGCCTTTGCCTCAGTGTTCGCGTAACCAGTCTGCCAATATGGGGCTGCCACTGACTTACAGCCAAACTACCAAAAATCAATCCATAAATCTATGCAAGCCATACATATAGCTGGTGTTCCTCAGAAACCGTCCCTTACGCTGCACCACACAGCAGACCTTTGTGGGCAAAACATACCAAAATACAGTTCACCGTTTCCCACAGATACTTCAGTGGGGACATCAAAGGGACTTGGGAAAGTTAAGGGCAAAACACATGTCTCAGAAGTTCTGCAAGGTGGTTGGTTAGGGGCAACAGTGGAAAGGAAAGGATGGGTGAGATGGGTGCTCACAGGTTTACTGTCATTAGAGTGGTGGACCATATTCTGAGCAGGGACATAGACATACTTCTAGAGAAGAAAGGAGACACCGTGACAAAGAATCCCTTTGTTATACTTGAGGTCACTCACTTTAAGGTGGAGGACAAAACCGAGCACAAATACCTGCCCACATGGAAAAGACAGACAAGGAGAAATTAAATACTCTTGGTAGACAAAAGCCCCATCTATTCCCAAATGCTTCATTAAGGCCTTTTTAATTTTATTCTATTTTCCTGCATCCTCCTAGTACTTTTTAGGCATTCATTTTGGTCCCAAGTACTTTACTAACAAACTAACTAGTACGTGAGGAATGCTGCTCCCTAACTCTTGCATGCCCCTAAGTCTGTGTCCGAGGTTTCTGCCTTCGTTTGTCTCAGGCTTGTGCCATATGGTACCTCCCCGTTACCACCCAGAGTGTCCCTCTGACCCCCACCCCACCATACTTTGTGTCAGGTTGAATTGCATGTCATACTCCTGCAAGCCTTCCAGGTCTGTGATCCCAATATTGGTCTCTTATCCCCAGCAGTCCCCTCCCTTGGAAAGAGCCACTTGCCACATTATCAAGAGTTAGGCTTGTCTGTAAAAGTAGAAGAGGTTTCACCAGTGGACCAATCTGCCCTCACTGTCCTCTACCTTGTTGCAAACCCACTTATTTTCTGCCTCAAAGGCAGTAGCTCATACCATGCATCCTTCAGAAATGTGTATGCTTCCACTCATCCTAGGAAATCTCCTTTTCCCCAAATCTAACACTGACATAGATTGCCATCCCTCACTCACCCCAATCCAGTCCTTCATGGCTTAGGAGCAACCTATCCAAAGAATATGCACATAAAAGCTGCCAGTAGTTGAGCTGATCCAGGCAGGGCAGAAGCTGATGGTGTAGACCTTCAAATAACCTTTGGAAAAGTTAACGATCCACCTAGCTAATGAAAGGACAAGGATTACTTTTATTCACTTACTAAACCAGTTCTGGTGACTGTGGCAGAAAGCAGAACAGAAAGCACAGGGTGTGCACAACAGCCAGTAAGCTTGGAAGTTCTGTGGCAGTAAATGTGTGGATGTAAGAAAGAGGTGGTTGTGATGTTAAGAAAGAACAGACTCTGTCCTGGACTAAATAAAATATTCTAGGACATCCAAAGCGTGGAACTAGGTGACAAACGCAGCTGCTGTTGAGATCACAAATGCTCGCATAGACTCAAGAGTAGGGTGGTAGTGACCATAATGAACATCAGTAATTTCTACTCCCTCAGAATCTCCCGCCACCTCTGACTTGGCCTTCCTGACCCCTTCACATCCTATCCTGCACACCTCCACGCCTGTAATTTACTCAAGGCTCAGCAGCTGCCAACAAACAACTCCTAATAGAGCAAGCACTGCCTGCAGGAGACACTGGATGAGATTCTTGCTGCAACCCGATCCCAGACAAGAACTCAGGCAGTGCCCATCTTCCACATTTCAATTCAAGTGTGTCTGGAAATAGTTGCTGTGTTCAGTTTTGTTCAGGATTTCATTTTCTTTTTGGCTTTGTTTTTCAATTACTTCCTACTTTTCATTCGTTTCCAGCTGAGAGCGTTATTTGGGAGCTTTCACAGCAGGGCTGGATGGCATCAGAGATGTTAAGGGTTGAAATTTCAAACATTTCAAAGCCTGGGGCAAAGAGCTGCAGCGGATGGGATGGCGCAGCTGGGATTTCAAAGCCAGTAGGGCCTGGCTCCAGGAACGGGATACAAAGGGCTTCAGGGGGAAACAGAGACTGGGAACAGGAAAGTTAGAGAAAAGTTGATTTACTGCTCGTGTCTGACACAGTATGATTTCAAGTCACAGCAAACAGCTGTCAACCACTCAGCAGAAAACAATTAGTCGGGTTGTCCCTGACAATGTGACCCTCCCAGTTTTCACAGGAAATGCGTGAGCTGCAGCTGGTGGAGGGACTGGCTGTAGTTCCACTTGTTACACTCCTACCTCACCACTGTCTTCTCTTTTGGCTCCATGAGATTTTTGTGGAGGACACACCATGCAGGACAAGAGCCTGGTTCGGAAGGGCACTTCACTGGCCCTCCAGCACCTTTTTAGATATTTTGCACAGCCATTTGGAAGCCCTACCCTGAGGTGGTAACGCAAGAAGTTTGAACAACAGCTACATTGCTGCTAAATGCAAGAAATAAGCAGGCTCCTCCAGCGTGAGTGTGAGTCAGCAACTCCATTGCTCCAAACGGGCTCAGCAGCGGGTTTGCACTTGGCATGGCTGCACAGCATCAGATGGGCAGGAGATAGGAAAGATATGAGTGCCACGTGCCTTGCCAGGCCAGCCAGCTTGAGCTGACAGCAGTAAAGCAGCTGTAATGATCCATAGTGGATCTTCTCAGAATTCCTGCTGGTGGGAAGTTGTGTCAGGTCAGGAGACAGGGAATAAAGAGATCGCGCTGCCGTGTTGCCATTACAGGTGGCACAGCCTTCCAACACATCCTCGGTGTCCACAGACGGTGCAGACTGAGAACTTTATGGGTGGCAGGTGTCACCTCCTAACTCTCATGGGTAGCCGTCACCTTCCCAAGCCCAGGCTGATGGGTAATGCACCAGCAAAAGTTAGGTGTTTTCAGGTCTCATATAACTAAGGCAACCTTCTTCTTCTCAGTGGTACTCAGGTGATAACTGTCTTCTAGCCCAGGTAAGAGCTACTTCTCACAAACCCCATGCAACAAGGGTAATTGGCACCAAATGTTTTCATCAGTGCCACCAGCTCTGACTTCATTAACTCAACATCCACATGTGTTGCCTGATGCTCTGTGCTGTCCCAGAGGAAAATGAAAGCTGTGCTTTGGTACAGGGATGCCTCATACTGCTGTATGGCCGTGACCAGGGCTGGGGCTGCCTTCCTGCTGCTACTGCAGTGGTTCAAAAGCAGTTTGAGCGCTGCACTGCTCTTGCACAGCAGCAATGCTAATGATGGTCCAGTGCCTCTCCAGAAGGCAATGTTCTGCAGCAACTGGCTGATCTTGGAAAAAGAAAGCTACATTTCAACAGTAGCCCACTCTGGAAGCTGTCTCCAGAAACACCATGTTCCTTCTGAACTAATAATTCATGTGAGGACAGGCAAGGTGCAGGCTGGATGACCATCCAGGCTGGTGATAGTAGGCGTAATGCCTGGACCGCAAGGCAGTAAACAAACAAAAATATTACCACTGTGTAATATTGCTAATTTGAAGTGATCGTTCACCTGCTCCTGCATCAGCTCAAATCTGATCTCTCCGGTAATGAAATATTAGTGAACACAGAACTGTGTACTAAATTAAGCACAGATTAAACACATTATTTAATAGTGTGGGCAGCCTCTTCAGACCAGTAAGAATTTTTACAAATGGCCACAAATCTTTGAAAACAGAGGGCTCCTGGAACCACTTGCCAGCTCACCCTTATTGCCCACGTGAATGAGCTGTGAAGAACCCATCGGTCCAGCTGCTTTTCTTGGCTCTGTTAGTAAGATGATATTCATGAGAACCAAGACAAGCTTTTATCTGAGTTGTCATTTCTACAGAAAGGCGATCAGGATATTCTGTAGAGTGTACGTAGGCCACCAGCACAACCTAGCTCATCGCAACTGGTGCTAATTAGCTTCCAGTGTCAGACACATTTTGATTTACTAACTAGCAATTTTTCTGCTCACAGCCATGAAACAAGAGGAGATAAAATGGGAAAGATTCCTGTGTATAAAAAAGTGTAATGGCAGGTGAATAAAATATTTAAAAGTCAGCAAAGACACAGAAGAAGCAGCTTTTATTAACTTTCAGTACTAGAGTACCTCAAGGCAAGCACTTTTTCTATGGGCTGTATTATTATGGGTTGTTCACAGGAATTAGAAGTAACATGATGAAATGTAAAAGGATGAATTTAGAATTTATGGCCAGAAAATATCAGTGTAATAAAATGTAAGTGGCTGTGCATTAGGCAAACCACCATTTACAGGAAAGATGCCAGCTTTCCCTAATTTAACCTACTGAGAATGTGTAGTGTTTGTCTGAATGACAGTTCAAATAGAGGTTGAGTCAATATAGGCACCTGTGCATTATTCCCCACAGTGCTTTCAAATAATTTCCAAAATTTTAGGCATAAAATTAGTCAAGTTTATAAACTAATGTGTGATACATTTCAAATAATCACAATAGAATTACTATTAAAAATTGAGATTTTTTTTGTTTTGCTTTCATTTCTCTTTAGTGTCACAAAACTTATTTTCCCAGGCTCCAAACTGGAAACAAGAACAGGAACTGATGAATATCCACACATAAGAGTGCATTAACTTGTTGCTTCATACTTGAAAGCAACATTTATTTCCTATTTTATTTTTCTTTGAACAAACAAACAAAAGCAAACCATCTTTATCTCATGAACAGCACATTTCTTACAATAAAATTTGTAATTATTCTTCTTACGTAGGTCAGTATGTATTTCTCTACAGTCGTAGGTTACAATAAGAAACAAAACAATGCAAAACAAATGCCAAAACATACTGTTTTTATTTTCAGAGGTCTTTGTTTTGTTTTTTTTTTTTTTTTTTCTCCAACAACATTGTGTGAAGAATGACTGTGTGACTTGGAACTAATTTTTTTTAATCCACTCTTTGCTACTTGTTTAAAAATTGCTACAATATTACAAAGCAGGTTAACAATTTGGAATTTAACTACTTAATGATAATCCCTTGAGGAAGAAATAAAATACAGAAAAGCAATGCAAGCAGTGACCGCGTAAATGGAATTTCTAGAGAAAAGGCATCTTACTGTGTCCACAAATTAAGAACGAGTTTCCAAAACTCTGGCTCATTCAAAAAACCCCAGATGTCTCAATGTTTTAGCTTCACATGTATCTCCTCCCTCTTTCCCTGTTCTTCCATGAAGAATTTAAATCCTTGCAAACCTGGTTTTGGACAAAATGATCTTTTCCCTCCTTTTTTTTTTTTTTTTTTTTCTTTATTTGAATGAACCCAGGTGTTCCTTGGGATCTCTCTCAAATTACTGCTCTGGCTGTGTCACTTACGCTTTCATGACTAACCAGTATTATTCTATTACTGCTCTGGTCTGGGGTTCGAGCATACTGTAGAAAGTGCTCATTAATGAGGAGATTAAGGAATCTATAAAAACAGAGTGAAGCTTGCTGTCTGTTTTCGCTGTCCATGACAAGGTTTGATTTACTGCCCAGAGCCACTGTCCCCTACGGTTTGTGCCGCCTCATGCTCCCAAAAGCAAACCCAAACAGTGGTCAGCAGCCACCTGCACGGGCGTGCAGCTGGATTGGTCTGGGCTCTACCAGGCTACGTACAGACCAGTAAAAATGGTGCCCAAGGAAATATTGCTGGACATTCCTCTGAGTCTACTGACCAATTGCTGGATCGATCCCTGTCCCACGCCACTTATCACTCTCAAAAAATTCCCAGAGCTGATCTGGAAGTTATCCCGGGCCAGGGTGATCCCCATGTTCTGGATGCCGAGAGCATGGACACGGACTCGTACGGCGCCAGCTGGCCTCAGCACGGGAGTGCTGTCTCGCAGCCATGCTTAATTCAGCGGTAGAGACCCAGGCTGGGAGCCAAGCCAGCCCAAAGCGGAAAATCAATTGCCAAGCCTGAACGTTAGCTGGCTAACGGGAGACGCAGTCCTTCGTGCAAGGACTTCCACTTCAGCCACTGGCTTGAAGTTTCCTTCTTGTCCCGTCTTACACCACCCCCCAACTTTCTTGATCTATACACAAAGACATTTAAAACATGTGACTAACAGCAGACCTACAGATGTAGGGAGGCTGGAACCAGTTTTTTTTTCCTTTTGGTGAATATATAATGGGAGAGAGGAGTTCCTTCCCTGCTTATGCTTTCTAAGATAGATGTTATACATGTTACCCTTATCAGTGGGAACAAGGATGCATAAAACTGTGATTTATTTCAAATGATACTAACAACCTATCTTTCTTTTTTCCTCTTATAAAGCACAGTGTATTTATTTTACTCCAACCCTTCTTCACGTTAGTTCTTTCAGGGCAGAACTGATGAGTCTGTGCTATGCCTCTTCAATCTACTATTGCATAGCAGACTACTAATTCAGCACTTTTTTTTAAATTATTTTTCTGAAGTATTCACATTATAGGTAAGATCGTATTTTACTAGACTGCTAGACTCTATTATGCATTTATAAAAACTTTTTTTCTTTTTCTTTTTATTTTTACTAATGCTTTTGTAGGAGAAGGTGAATTTTAAGCCCAGCAGAACTACTGATAATGAAAAGAAGAAATAGGGAGGAAAGGAGGGAGGCTGCGACAGATGTGGGATCTGTGCACCATTTCTCCTCTCCAGGAAGAAAGATACAAGGTCAAGGTACTTACCCTATAGAGGAAAATAGAAACGTGGAGCACTAACAGTAAATTCCCTTGAGCATCTGTGACGGCACTTCCACACAGAAATAGCTCGTTTCATGTAAAGTTTTGGAATCCAAATTTCCAACCAAAAAAAAAAAAACACAAACCCAAGACAATAGAAATTAAATTAAATCATATCTTTCTTTTTCTGTATAAACTTTTCATAGAGGAAAGGGTTATTTTGTGTGAGGTTTCTTTTTTTTTTTTTTTTTTTTTTTTCTTCTTAGACACCTTTAAATAAATTGGGGGAAGGCAGAAAACATTTACCAACTTTTCATTAGTACAACTTGAAGGAATTCCTTACTGTCTCACTATACAACATTTTTAGAGGCTGGTCTTATTCTGAGTATCTACATGACATTATTTTAATCATTGATGATATAACTCAAAGAGGACAAGCAACTATTGCCCACTGCTTTTCAGAGCTCTGAAGATGCCCAGGGACATCTGGGACTGATTCAGAAATGTGACAGATTCCGGTCTGGCTGCTTCTGTGGACCGAGTCTTCTACCAGATCAAGGCAGTGGCCTGTGTGCTGGAGCCTCAGCCTCCAGAGAGGACTGCAGCACTGCTGGAGTGAGGCGACTGTCCCAGCTGCACATCACCACGACAGGCCTTTACAGCAGTGTCAGAGACCTGTAAATCCTCCTGACACGATTCAGGTCTTTTTCTTAAACCCATAGGGTGTGAGCTGCATGGAGCCTTTTCAGCTATTTGGCTGCCCTGCTAGAAGTCCTTGCCAGCTCCTCAGTCTGCTTTAACTCGCAGTTAGGCCTTATTGGTGGACTTCAGGACAAGGCACGGAGATACCTTGGAGCATCTTGTACCTAGCACCACTTTAACTCTTCCCCAAACTTGTTCCACTGTCTTCAATACTTTATATGGAAAGCTTAAATGCTTTTCTTTTGAAGTTCTGTCTTTGAAACCTTCAAGACCTGAACTCATCCAGGTGGTCTGGCAGTAACACATATGACACTTTGACTCCAGTTCTCGTAGAGCTTTTCAGCTTCATCCTGTGGGTGTTATGTCCACACATTCATATTTCCTGTTTTGCTGACCTATGAGATTTTATTTCACTTTTCAACAGACTAATAAATCATTCTTTAAAAAAAAAAAAAAAAAAAAAAAAAAAGAGAAAATAAAAGATAACCTTACTTGCTCTTTGTTTCCTTCGAACCCAGGCTCCAATTGACCTTAGAAGTTGCTATGGTTGAGATTTGGAGAAGTTCGTGGTGGTTTTTTAGGTTGGTGGTGGAACAGGACAGCCTTTCCCGTTTCGCCTCTCAGACTCCCCCGGTTTTACTGAGTTACCGCCTGTCACGGAGCCTAGCCCCCCTCACGGAGTTTGCCCTGGGGCACCGGGGCGCCCACTCCTCGCCGGCCGCAGCTCCGCCGGCCCTTGGGGCAGCCGGGCAGAGCCGTGACCCCCCCCCCCCCGGCCCTTCCACCGCTCCTGCCCCGTCCCCGTCCCCGTCCCCGTCCCCGTCCCCGCCGCCTCCCTGCGCGCAGCCGCTCCCCCCCGCCGGCAGCCGCGGGGGCCGGGGGCCGCCCGCTCCCCCCCTCCCTCCCTCCCTCCCTCCCTCCCTCCCTCCCTCCCTCTCCCTCCCTCTCTCCCCCCCCCTCTCCCCGCTCTCCTCTCCCCTCGCAGCCCCGCATGCAAATCTAACCCGGCACCAGGAAGTCAGGCGAAGAGGCTGCGAGCCAACCGCCGCCGGTTCCTCCGCCGGCCGCCCCCCCCCCCCCCCCCCCCCCCCGCGGCCGGCGGGGCAGCAGCGCCGCGCCCCGCACGCGCACCCACACCCACCCCGGGACACCCCTCTCGGCCCACCCGGCGGCAACCGGGGAGTTCGCCCGCTGCCGCTCAACTTTCGCACCCGGGGAAAGTAAGTGTCTTCGCCCGTCACCGCGCCGGGAGCCGGGGTGGAGGGGCGGGGGGGGGGGGGCGCCCTCCCCGGCTGGTCCCGCGGGAGGGGGCAGCGGGAGGGAGCGGGGGGTGCCCGGCCCGGCCCGGCCCGGCCCGGCACGGCACGAGGTGCTTTCCGGGGCGGCTTTTCCCCGCTTCTGCCTCCCGGAGGGGGTGCCGCTGCCGCCTGGCCGTCCCGGTGGGACTGGATGGGGTCTCAGAGGAAATACGGCAGGGGGGCGGTGGGGGGGGGGTGGTGGTGGTGTCAAAATAAATAATAATTAAAAAAAAAAAAATCATTCCCCAAAATATGATGTACCTCTTGCTGCTGTACTGGGCTCCAGTCCCTTCTAGCTGTTCGTGCTGGAAAGCGTGTAAAATTCACTCATCAAACTCCGCAGTCGGCGTTTCGAGCCCAGGAGAGTTAGCCTTGGTTTAGGAGAGACGATGTGGCCCCTGAGTATTCCTTCTTGCCGTGTTTTCTTGCGAGGAGAGTAACTCCTGGAGCGTCTTCCGAGTAAAAGCTGCTTCCTCTTAGCTGTACGCTCAGCTGTGCTTTAGCTTAAAAGATAAACAAGAAAAAGGCATTGTGATGCTTGGTGCACAGTGTTTCTTGCTAACTACTATTGTAACGGTACTGTATGACTAAGGAATAATGGTCTTGAGGGGTTTTCTCCTTCCAATTTTAATTTAGGATCTGAAAGTCAAAGTAGATCTTCCTAGTTGATGCCGTACCTTCAGTAAAGCAGTTAAGACTTTCTGTTGAAATTGCATCTTTTATGGGCTTGCAGTGAATGGGTTTGCAAGAACTCATCTTGCTGCTTCGCTCTTTAGTTGGCACTAAAGACCAAAGAGATTAACACTTAAAACTTGTTTAGCTTGATCATATTACTGTGGATATACATAGGGAGCTCAAAGGTTGAGTTCTTTTTCTGTTGTTTCATCTGAAGCCCCAAATCAATATCCCATCTCTTGCCTTTCATTCTCACCTTTGAAAAAAAGAAACAGCCTGACTAATCTTAATGTACTTTAGCACATCGTAATACAAATTGGAAATGACATTTTTTAGCCTGATCCCATAAAGTTCCTGGAAGACTTTTATAATTTAGAAATTTTAATGTTAGTTGCAAGTATCTGTAAAATATGAGTGCCAGGTAGGCAAGTCTGCCCTCATCATAGTCTCACTAAAGAGGTTTTTTAGGAAGATATTTGTTGGGAAATTGCAAAGCTATGTTAGGAAAATGTAGCTCAGTTTTACGGAAGGAATAGTCAAATGGTGTTTGTGTGAATTGTTTCCAATCCAGTATTGAAAGCAGGGTAGAAGTTACTTATATACTTCTATATGTTGGGACTTTGTATCTTTGTAAAAGGTACCATCACGAGCACTGAAAGTATGGATGAGAAAAAATCAGTTTCACCTGAAACAGTAGCAATGGGCTAGAAATCAGTTAGATACTGTTAATAGGACATTATGAAATTTTGGGCAAGGATTAGAATTCATGAACTCTGACATCAACAGATGTCTCGTCCTATGGATCTCTTCTGAGATGTCTAACTTTTTTCTTTCTCCATGTCACCTTTGTGAGCTGCAGACTAGTTAGAAAATATTTCTTGATTTAATAACATGAAAATCTATTTTAATTGTGTCTTGTTGAGAAATATTATTTTTTTTTTAACCATAATGGTGTAGAATGATCATCTTTGTACAGTAGCGGGCTGACTCGAAGTTATTCTGTTTTTTTTCTGTAGTTTTTTTTGAGTAGATAAGGGTTTTTTTCCTATATAAGTGTACAGAGGACAAGGTAAGGCTTAGGCCTTTCGACGTAAGCTCCTTGACCAGTGGAGTTGTGCAATGATTTTTTTCTGACAATACAATGAATTATGAAACTTTTGCGTACAAAGTTAAACCCCATTACCTTTAAGATATTTAATATTCTGGTTTTTTAATGTTACCCTTTCAAGAGAGTTTCCCTAAATGTGAAGTTCTTTCTTTAATGTATTTGTGAATATATAAGTATTTATGAATGTATATGTAATTCTTTCATGATACCTTTTCCCACCATTTTATCTATGTAATTGAAGTGAGCTATTTTCCTATGGCCTTGCTGGCTCTTCTAAGATAAATGGCATCACAGAACAGCAAGCGCTGTGGGAAGCAATTCCTAAAATGAGCAGTGAAAAAGGTCCACAATCCTCCTGGCTCCGCTTAGCAGCTGGTCTTCTGTGGGGTTGCTCACAAGGCCAGAGACACTACATCTGGCCCTTCTTGTGCTGCACATCAGAGCAGCATTTGACCTCTCTGTGGCTATTCAGGAAAGTTTAAGAATTGCAGTATTTAATCTCAGATGTGATGCCATTTCTGTCACAAAAAAAAAAAAAAAAAAAGAGATGTTTTCTTATCTGTACTTTGCATGCTACTTGGAATATTAGTGGACATTTGAGGTTTTTGGATGGAAACATCTTGACCATGAACCAATTAACCAATTTTTATATTTCTCAAAGGGCTAGGTGATCTGGGGAGAGGATGAGGCCTTCCCTCCTCTCCATAGGTGCATATTCTGAGTGACCGAGTCCCCTTATTTCTTCTGTCCAGGGAATTGTGGACTCCTGGAGTCTACAGCTGTTTTACTCTTGGGGTTCAGGGGGGCCTTTTGCAAAACTGAATGAACACAGAAAACAAGCAGATGAGGAATAAATAATAAGTAGAGACCTGGGGTGGGCATTAGGGGTGGACTAGGATTCCTAGCACCCTGCTCTAGTAGCATGGCTGTACACAGAGGTATCTCTGCAGCACCAGCCCTCCCTGAAGATGTGAGCTGTCAGGTGCTAATGCAAGGGATGGGAGGAGGATCCTTTGGCTGGGGATCCTGAGGGTTGTGTAAGCTCTGTGTGCAGTAGGTGGTGCTTCCTTCTGAAGCTATGGAGCAAAGTGTGTAAATAACAACACCAAACCACATGACTGTTAAGTAGTAGTTATTGTTACCCCTATAGGATTTCTATCTCTAAGATTAACAGCTTCGTTCTGTAGAAGAACCAGCTGCCCAGATGAGAATTAGGATTTTTCTCCTGCTGATCATATTCCTACTTTCTATTTCTCCCGTTATTTGTGCCCCATCTTTCATGAAAGTGTAGGAGTGCTAGAGATGGTATAGAGAGCAAGGCTTCCACAATTGCCAGCCTGCCACAGGAAACCAGATAAAAAATGGAAAATTACATTCGTATGAAAACAGTCTTTAGTAGTATGCCACACTGTAAATGGTAATGGTACCTTCTCAAAGAAATCAACTTCTACAATAAAAGGCAAATACAACGTAGCTATCCTTAGTGTGACTGTTCCTAGTTTAAACATAATTGTCCTTCTGGGAAGGATGGAAAGGTCTGTGCTTTCATATTTATTTTTGCCTGATTCAAATACGTTTCCTGTTGACATTGTCATTAAATGCTGTAATTTCCGAGGCTGAATCATTCACAGTGGTGTTCGGCATCTTTCCTGAAAATGTGGGTTTATGGAACAAAATGCAAAGGCAGAATTCATCTTGTGCTGGAAGCATTTCCTCCAAATATTTAGGCGATACTTGTATTTGTTGTGTGCCCTGAAGTACTTCTCACAAGGGTAAATAGATCAGTTATTTTTGTCAGCCAAATGTCCAAAGAGAGACAGTATTTTGACACTAACACTTTGCTGGGGAGAGGAGGAGGAGGAGATCAGGGAAAGGTGGAGGGGGGATGAGTAGATCACATTTCTCTCGGTGAAAAAGTGTAGACTAGCACCATTCAGGCCAGTTTTTGCCATCCTCTAGGTCAGCATTGTCTATCTTTTTCAAACTACTGGCATCTTAAGTATCTACAATTGGTTCCTGTGTTTGCACAGCATACTATCTTACTTCTTCAGTTCAAAGGACTCAAACGATAAACAGTCTGAGCAATGTGTCCTTCTTCCTCTATGGTCTCTGCTACATGTAGCATGAGGCTACTTCTTCCTGTCTAAACTGTGTTTGATGTGTTGTAGAGTTTGCTACCGCTTTTTACTGTACACGTTTCTTGTGACCAAACCATTTCTTGAAAGTGCCTGTGACAGCAAATTGTGCGATCTTAAACTGGAAAACGCGATAGCTCACCACAGAGGTTGAAGTATGGGATGTAGCTAACTCCTCTGGAATGGCATTTTTTGCAGTTCTCTCTATTTTAGAGGTCTATTGGAAGGCTGGACATGACAAAACTTTGGAGGGAATGGACTCCCTCTGTAATGTGTTCTTAACTATTCCTATTGGTTTAACAGAAAGCCGTGTCAGGAAGTTCAATAAAAATAGTCTGTTAAGTGGGCTTTCTGATGTAGCATCTGTAATACATGGCTTTACTTTTCATGTTTCCTTCATTAGTTTGTACAGATAGGTGTATACAAACCTGTTTGATCAATTTTTTGATGAAATCTTATTCAAGCTTTTTCTTGGGCATAAACTGAAACAATATGTTATTACAGGAATTAGTGCAGAAGTATATTTGGCTGCTAAGCAGGTTTGTTCTTTC